AAGTCACAACTCTGTCTCTCTCTGTCGTAGTCTGAGAAGTCAGGTGGCGAGAGGGTGAGAAGAGAAGGTGGACTTAGAAGAGGAAGAAGAAGAACTCTCTCTCTCTCTGTGTCCAGTACTAACCTGTGAAGTTGGCGCCTTGATGAGGTACCACGAAGATGGAGCTGGAGCGATGGCGCCACAGGTAAGTAACACTGGCCTCCGCCAGTCTCTCTCCCACTCTACGATCTATTACCTACCAGCGCCCAGCGCTGAAGACTACAGCTGCAGCTATGGCGCCCAGCGCCGAAGACTACAGCTAGCGCTACCACTACTGCCTAGCGCTGAAGACTACTGCAGCGCTCCTCCTGAGTGCTGCGGCCGAATCCTGAAGACTACCCCCGCCTACTGACACTACCTACCCGTGAAGTGCATKGGAACCTCCTATGTACTACGGGTGTGCCTCTTGAGCCTGCCGAAGGGAGGCAGGGGCTGCAGCTGCAGCTCCTGCTCGAGTACGTGAGGAACAGGCTATTTTGGGCCTGTTCTGCATCCCTGTTTCCGTGCCTGAGTCTTAGGAGCAGGTCGAAACAATGAGGGCCTGAAATTGGCCCTCCGTTTCAGGCTGAAAACTCTGGGTTTGAAAAAACCCAGAAATAGGCTGAAACGAGGTAGGGCCTGCAGGCCCTCGTTTTTCAGCATCCAGGCTGAAATGAACGGGGCCTGTAAGCCCTAAGTTTTAGGCTTTTAGGCTGAATGTCCGGGACGGGCCCTGTAGGGCCCGTGTGGCTACGCAGTATGCCACACCCCCCCCTCCTTGAAGAACCGAGCTGACCTGCGAGGGCGAAGCTGTCTGTCAGGGGGAGGAACCACAGTCCGAGTGGGAGGGGCTGGTCGTGAAGCTTCCTGAGCTAACCTGCGCTTTTCATAATGTGCGTAGATCAGCTGTACGGATGCTTTCAAATCTGCGCCTGATATCCACCGAGTGTCGTCGCGATCGCATGCTTTGAATGTGACTTTATACTGCCGCGGCTTGCTGCCGTACTTGCGATCGGAGATGACGCGGTCAACTTCCTAATGGCCATCCATAGAAGGAGGGTTTTGCGATCGTCGGTCCGGAAAGTCGTCGCTCTTGGCTGGCGTGTAAGTTACCAGCTTCGAGGCGTGGAAGACCGGATGGACCGTCAGATGCTCTGGAATGTTGATCACAAATGAAGGGCCATCGGGCTCATCGCCCGCGGCTGCTGTCACAGACCAAGGTCCAAACCACTTGGGAAGCAGTTTGCGTGAAACATCCTRTTCCAGTGCAAACTCTTCCGCGAAGACCCAAACCAGATCACCGGCGCGGATGGGACATGGTACGCGACGCCTGTTGGCTTGCTGCTGCATGTGGACTTGAGCCTTTTGCATATTTGCGCGGGCTTGAGTCAGCAATTCCCTGTACTTCCGGACGGAAGAGGGAGAGCAGGCAGCGTCAATGTCGGCTGGTCGAGGGAGGAGAAGGTCGGCGAAGATCCGACCTTTCCATCCACCGTGGTGCAACTCGAATGAGTCACGCCGATCGTCGGATGCACCGAAGTGTTGTAGGCGAACTCGATGTCGGGGAGGCGGTCAACCCAATCTTTCCGGTCCGGACGGATGAGCGTACGAAGCATCATTTGAGCGGTCTGATGTGCCCGCTCCGTCTGCCCGTCTATCTGAGGGTGTCGAGCCGAACTTGGTTTCATTGTTGTGCCGGACTCCTGCATGAGAGCAGTCCAAAACGCCGACATGAAACGAGTGTCGCGGTCGCTGACAATGTCTTCTGGTACAGCGTGGCCACAAATCCAACCAGTGTGCAGGAGGCGTGCCAGCTCGGGAGCCGTGGAGTAGTACTTGCAAGGGAGAAAACGCGCGTACTTACTCAATCGGTCCACAACCGTGAGGATGCCGTCGTGCCCGAGCCGGTCGCGAGGAAACGGACYGGTGACGTCYATGSCAATGGAGAGACCGGGTTCCCGTGGGATAGGCATCGGGTGTAACTCGCCGTAGGAATTGTGGTTGCGGGGCTTGCTGCATCGGCAAACTTCGCAAGAGTCGCAATACCGAGTGCCATCAGTAATGAGGTCGGGCCATCGGAATCGCTGTCGAAGTCGTGCAATAGTGCGGTTGACTCCGAAATGGCCGGCGAGTCCGAAGTCGACGGTCGCGTGGGACACAGTAAGTCCTTGCCTCTCGAGTGGAGGAGCAAGTGCCCGTCGGCAATGCGGTAATGGCTGGCCGGCGAGTGATCCGAAGATAGTTGTGCATGGAGCGTGCCGAAGTCCGGATCAGACTGATATGCCCGGATGAAGTGTCGCTGAAGCTCCTCGTCGAATGCGAAGGCATGATGTGTCATAGCGCAAAGATCAGGTCTTCACGAGAGTGCATCTGCTGCGCGATTGGAGAGGCCAGGGACATGCTTTGGTGTGAAGTCAAATTGGTCGATGAAGTACAACCATCGTCCGATCGTGCTGCTCACCRTGTCCTGCGTCTTGTAGTAGTTCAATGGATTGTTGTCTGTGATCCATGTGAACCTACAACGCCCAAGGAGGAAGTGCCGCCAGCGTTTGAGAGCCATCACGAATGCGAGCAGCTCTTTCTTCCTTGCATCATCAAGCGAGTTAATGGGAGGCACTTTGTGGCTGAAATACTCCAGAGGGTGCCAGTCGTCGCCGTCGTGCTGTTCCAAGACTGCCCCAATGCCATAGCCGGAAGCGTCCGTAGTCACTCGTGTCGGCAGGGTGGGGTCATAAATGCTAAGGACAACTGCCATGAGCATAGCCGTCTTAAGTGCTTGGAATGACCGGCGTGTGTCGTCATCGAATACGAATGGCACCTTTGGCGACTGTAACCTCGTCATAGGTGCAGCAATCCTGGAGTATCCGGTGATGAATCGCTGATAGTAGCCCGCCAACCCCATGAATGAACGAACGTCCGTGGTGTTGGTGGGCTCGGGCCATACTCGTACGGCCTCGACCTTGTCCGCAAGCGGACGGATGCCTTGCGGCTTCACATAGTGTCCCAAGTACTCCAGCTCCTACTGTGCGAACTCGCACTTGTCGCGGTTTGCTTTGTACTTGGCCTGTCGTAGCCGCTCCAAAACGGTGCGCAGGTGTTCCACATGCTCGTCTAGACTCCGGCTGTAAACCAAAATGTCGTCGAGGTATACAAGTACGAAACGATCCAGCATGTGACGGAACTCCGTCGTCATAGCCGCTTGGAAAGTGGCTGGGGCATTCGTAAGGCCAAATGGCATGACCAGCCATTCGAAATGCCCATACCGAGTCTTGAACGCGGTCTTGTAGCGATCCTCCTTGCGAATCTCGAGTTGGTGGTACCCTGACTTGAGATCCAACTTAGAGAAGAACTGGGCGCTGCCCAATCGCTCGAGAAGGTCGTCGATGCGTGGGAGAGGGCCGGCGTTCCTGATCGTCTGCGCGTTGATCTTGCGATAATCGATGCACAACCGCAAATCCTTATTCTTCTTCCGGACGAAGAAAACAGGAGCACCGTATGGCGATGAGCTAGGCCGAATCCAACCTTTCTCTAGAAAGTCGTCGAGTTGTGCCCGAAGCACACTTAACTCTTCCTCGCTCATTCGGTAGATGCAACTGCGCGGAGGTACGGCCCCGTCCTCGAGGATGATCTCGTGGCGGATGGGTCGATCCGGTACTACTCCGTGCGGGCCTTCGAACACGTCGCTGTAGGCGTCGAGAAGTTCGGTGATGCGTGGATCCGAAGGTGAGTCCGTCGATGAAGCGTCATGTGGCGGGAGGGCGTGGAGAAAACACACCCCCATCTCCTCGATGTCGTCTCTGATGATGGAAACTCGCATGCTTGCGGCCGATACCACGTGGCAGCTGATCGAAGGATGAGGAAAAGGCACCGTGCATGGAACTAATACTCCGTTCCGGTCACGAACGTGAACGGTGCGGTTGAAAAAGTTCACAGGGTGATCCTTGCTTCGCAGCCATGACATGCCCAAGATCATGTCGAATTTGGTGTCCAGAATGTCAAAGGACACCGCCTCACTTACGTGGGGGCCAAAGTACACTGGGACGACGTCAATGCATCAGTCGATGGACTTGTGCGTATGACCGTCTGCCAGAGTGACTTGAGTAGGTTGGGACTTCCTGTCGACGACCTCTGCTCCGGCGTCCATCAATGGAGTTGGTACTGCAGTGTGCAAGTAGTCCCGCAATTGTGCCATAAGCGCGTTGCAATGCGGTTTCGACAATCGTCCGGTCGAGGGAACGGGCATCCACTGGAAGTCCGTGAACGTCAATGGATCGAGCTCTTCAAGTCTTGACCATGACGTCGAATCCCCGGTGATAGGTTGCGGCGAAGCTGCCGAACCGGTTGCCGATGGTGATGAAACCGTGCATGCGGTGGACTGTTGCACGTGGAGCGGTTGGTCCAACGGTGGAACCAAGTGGACAGCATAATCCTCGTAAGTATACCGAGGACTTGCGACATTCGCATCCTCCCCAGATGTGCAGGAGGCCGCTAGCAAAGCGGCCGAATCTAGCGGAGTAGAAGGTGGAGTCGCCTCACCTTCCGCGGAGCTCAGTTTCCCGAGCTGAGGCGGGGTCGCACATCCTCCTTGCCCTGATCTTGGCACAGGGAGGTCTTGTGCTTGGTGTTGTTGCACCAATAGGAGCTGCCATAGCGGTCGCGGACCTTGTACTCCGCCTCGGTCAAGCCAAACTTGACCCATGGAAACTGTCCTGGCTGTCCATTTCCGGCCTGCGATGCGGATTTCGCCTTCCCATTGTTACAAGACTTGTTGGTGCTTCGGGGCTGGACAGCGGCCACCTGATCTCCGTCACTTGATACTGGAGTGGCTGCTGGGTTATCTCCACTCTCCTGCTGGACTGCAGCGAAGTGCTGCTGTCGCGGACCAGTTCGTACCTTCTCCACATAGGTCGGYTGCCATGATGTTGATTTCTCGTGTGCAGCTGACCTGTTGGTCTTGATGATCTCCCTCGCTTTGTCAATGATCTCTGCGAAGGTTGAGTACTGCTCGCGATCACCAAGAGCCTGGCTCAATGCCGCACAGGACCTGTTGTAGAACTCACGGCGTAGATGCTCGAATGGTAGGTTCAGATTGGGCACAGCCGCAATCCTCTGCCACTCCGTGAGCCAGTCCCGTGTTGCTGTGTTGCCCAGTGACATGGTGAACAAACGGTTGATGGCGAGTGTCGGCGCGTCGTCGACGATGAACCGCTTCTTCCACAGCCGTGTTAGTTCCTCCCATGTGATTACGTCCTTCAAGTCTGGTACGTCGACGCCGTGGGAGGTTGCCAGGTGGCTCAACCAGGTCTGGCATCCGCCCTTTGAGTTCAGGAACAGGGCGCCGATGTACGCATGCTTGGCTACTGGCAGAATCCTGAGTTGCGTTGTGAATGCTTCCCACCAGAGGACGGGATCCTGCTGCGTGTAATCGTCGAACCTCTCCATGTTGAAAGTTGGCATCTTGTACATCTTCGGATTGTCGTCCGCGTTCGTCGACCGCAGCTTTTGGACCTCGGTCTTCAATGTATGCAGCTGACTGCTGATGGTGGTGGTCGGCGCAGCGAAGGTGCTGATGTCGCCGAGCATTGCCACTACGTGGTCAACGCGGTCCTCCAATTGGCGGCTTGAGGGWGCAYTRCTGGAAGCTYCAGCAGCTGGTCCTGGTACWGCYTGTTCCAGGTCCAACAATCGGGCATTGAGTGCCCGAGTTGCATCCTCGTGGCTCTGCACTGTGCGGCGGAGCGTCGCCAATTCCTGATGCTGTTGCGTCAGGTCCCGGTGCTGTCTCTCCAACTCTGACCTTTGGTAGTTGCAAGCATACAACAACCGCGTCACGAGTTTCGAGAGGAACTCCTTGTGCTTTTCTTCCGGTGTTGCATCGTCGCCTTTTGGTTGAAAATGCCAGTACTTGAGTCTGTCGATGTTGTTGGCTTCCTTTCCGCGAGCCTGGGCATCTGCTTCTGCATCAGCCTGTAACCGCAGTTTCTCTGCTGCTGCTGCCTCTTCAGCTTGTATGCGGGCAGCCTCGACTGCCAGCAGGCGTTGTTCCTCGGCCTCTATCTGAGCCAGGCAACGCTGCTTGTAGGCGGCAATGGTCTCATTGGGCAGTTGGCCTGGCAGGCCCGTCAAGTTGCTGACGTGGCAATGCTGCTAACGTGGCACTGCTGATGTGGCACTGCGTCTGACATGGTACTGCTGACGTGGCACTGCTGACGTGGCACTGTGTTGAACGTCACTGCTGACGTGGCACTGTGTCTGACGTGGCACTGCTTACGTGGCACTATGTCTGACGTGGCAATGTGACCTGGCACTGCGGACGTGGCACTGCTGATCTGGCACTGCGGACGTGGCACTGCTGATCTGGCACTGTGGACGTGGCACTGCTGATCTGGCACTGCGGACGTGGCACTGCTGATCTGGCACTGTGACTTGGCACTGTGACGTGGCACTGTGACGCGGCACTGTGACGCGGCACTGTGACGCGGCACTGCTGACGTGGCACAGCTGATCTGGCACTGCTGACGTGGCACTGTACCGATACGGGATGCATGCAAGGGGTGGGTGGGAAGGAAAACGGAGGGAGGTAACCAACCCAACAATGCTTTCCTCCGGCCCTAATCAACAGATAAAATAAAAAAATAAAAAAATAAAAGAGGACTATTTCCTTCTTTTTTTTTTTTTGTATATATCTGTCGATTTATGATGAGTCCGATATGTCAGAAGAGTATAATGAACGAGATCTAGGCTAGGTGCCGCAAAGTTTTGGCTTTTACAAACTGCGATCTTGAAATTTTTTTTGCGAAATGGAGTAAAGATGCGATTTTCAGAAAAGAACAAAATCCCGTTTCTGAGAATATGGCAATCTCCGAATATGCCTAACGAAGTGTTGGTAGGCTCCGCAAGATTTTGGTTTTCAAAAAAATTTGCGAGATAGAATGGAAATCCGGTTGTCAGAAAAGAATAGTTTCAGTTTCCGAGAATATTACCACTTCTATCGTTATCCCAATATGCCTAGAGAACAAAAATACTAACTTCAGAAATTTCAGCTATGTATGTGAAATATCAGAGAAACCAAATGCTACTATCGGGAATTTTCAGACAAAACGAAATGCGATTTATCAGAGATTTTCAGACAAGAACCGACCTTTCCATACAAGGTATAAGATAGCACAGCGGAAGACTTAGATACCAGTGATCCGAACAATCAATGCTGTAATGCAGCCCTGAACATACATCATAATCATCGTTTTATAGTGTGAATGGGTCTGGCGCTTCACACAGGAAGACAGCGCCAGCCCAGAACATGCACAGACGAGGAGGAAGGGGATAGACGAAGAGGAGGGGGAAGATGGGAATGTCGTCAACACCAAGTCTTCGGCACAAGCCCAAATAGTCCCTCGTCGAACTGTCTGAATCCCAAATGTCAAGTCTGGATCCAATGTCATCAAGTCTCAAGTCACAA